AAACAGTACGTCATGTGTAAAGGGGTTAAAAATGGATGCTAATCAGTCTATTAAAAAGCAATATCTTCTCTGGTTCCTTTGATATGAATTCCTGCATTCCAAACACATCTTTCCTTCTATTCCATGGCCCTGTTTGCTTTGCTGAAAAGCCATGGCTGAAAGTACTGTTCACTGATTTGTTGTGTGAAAAAACACTGTTTGTTCGCTGAAATAGTACGGCTCATGAGACAAGTAAACAGGGCCATAGATGTTTTTCCAATCATGTGTTCTACTACTACACTCTCTTTCCATTCATGAATTTTCCCCTTTTCTCTGTATTCTATTGATCCATTCTAAACAAGGCTTTAATTTTTTTAGGGACCAAACAAGGCTTTAATAAACAGCTAGAATTTGTTCTTTATGGGCGTAAAAGATTTTGGTACAGATTCTTCGCTCTCATGATGGGCTGGCTCACTTGGATATTATATTTTGTTCATTTTGGAATATTTTCACGAACGGGCCCTAAATCAAATTCACGTTCCTGCATGGGACTTTAATTTTTTTCTTTGAGCAAAACATGGGACTTTAATTTCGTGCAGATATGCTACAGCTCTAAGGCCTATCATACCCATGGACCCAACCAGCCTAGCACTTCAACTGGGCCGAGACCATTGACGGGCTTTAAGGGCCCTCCCTCGCCTCGACGAGATCGACGCATCGCTTCAGAATTCAGACTTCGAGTGTTCCGCTCCTCTCGTCTCCTCACCGCCGGCTCGCGCGACCATGCGACGGAGCCCATGGCCGGCCGCTGCCGCAGCAGCCGAGGAGCACGTCGGGCGCCGGACCCATCGACAGACGAACCTGCACTGCAGGATCCTGCCGATCTCGGGCCCGTACTCCCTCCATTTCCCAAACCCTCGATGCATTGTTTGTCTGTCTTTGGTTGGATGGATATGGAGCCGAATCGGAGCAAATGGAGAACCCATGCATGTCACGTGTATGAGGCAATGGACTCTCATGCATGGCCTCCTGTTAGATGGTGTGATCCTCTGTTAGTTGGTGTTTTAAGGGTCATCCTCGATCCATCATGGCATTCAGTTTCTAATAAACATTATTCAGTATCCTTTTACAGTTCAGTTCAGAAACACAAATGTAGGTGCTGAAGGCAAGAAGGGCACTAGAGACACCCTTCTAAAGTATTTCAAATACCACCTGGAGTGCAGAGCGTTTCAGTTGTAGCTGCTCCTCGATCAAATACCACCTGGAGTGATCCTTGCTGGTCTCGCGAGTACTAGTAGTGATCTGCTGTTAGTTAGGACATGGTCATCACTAAACTCAAGATTATAACCTGTCAGAGAAAAAAAGTCGAGCCTGCCATTGTGCTCTCGGTCTAGTAATAGAGTGCAGATGTTAAACCTCTGATACATCGCACATAGGACATATGGGGTTAATTTTGGCACTGCAGGTTGCTTATGTAGTCGTTTGTTATGGTATTTTGGGATCTACCGAATAGTGGGAGATCGATTAATTTCTGCACTACATTGTGATTGGGCTTGCTCTGAATCTTGCACTTGGTCTGTTATGAAAACCTTTTATGTTCTGTTGCTTCATGCTATTCATCTTGAGGACTTACATATGAAGCAAATTTAAATACCCCTTTGTTGTGATTCTAAAAATATTACTAATTTAAGTTTAGTGTGTTGATATGCGTCCTATTATGCTGGTAGTTCAACAAAATGGAAGGAAATCATTGTTTTCCTTAGTGTATAGAAAGATCTTGTTACATTTCTAACAGTTTATCACAGTGTTCTCTGCTTTCTTTCTTCTGATCAACATGTATTGAATTCCTTGTGTTTGACAGGAAAAATGATGTTGCAAAAAGGCCATCTAAGAAGCCCTGCCATGCCTCGAGTAAGAGCTGTACATCCTCTGTTGTATCCAGCCCCAATGTTTGGGCAGATATCCTAGACTGTCTGCTTCACCAAATCATTGCTCTCCTTAGCTCATCCAATGACATCATTGCTTTTGCTGCAACCTGCCGCTCTTGGCGCGCTGCATTCACATCCTTCCCATCTACATTGAGCTGCAATGTCCCACCTCTATGCCTGCAATCTCACATCCATTATCCTCATCGCGGCCACAGCCGCATCAAGTATAGTCTTCTATACAATTGTGAGTGGCAGCTCACCGATCCTGTAAAGCGATCCTCCTCCTGTCGCTTGTCGCCACCCCACAACCATCCAAACCACATGCACTATTTGGGTTGCTCATATGGTAATCTTATATTCTCCAACTCGAATCAGTGCCTCCTTGTAGATGTTTTTGGTTTTACTACCGTGAGGCCTCCCAAATTGAAATCGATTGGCAAGCATGAGATCTACTACGGAATCCTTGATGGTTCCCTCAAGTCACCCAACTCGCATCTCTTCCTTTGCTCAGGGTCATCCATTTTCCAGTGGCAAGTTGGGTCTAACTCTTGGTTGGAGCATCCTCTGGGTATCCCAAGCATCTTTCGAATCGTGTTTTTTAAAGGTGACATGTTTGCCAGGGATCACTTGGATGGGCTCCACACCATTCGCTTGGCACCTCAACTAAACATACATGAAGTAGATATTGACTGGATAGAGTACTAGAGAGAAGATAGTGTTGTGGGCCGCGCTGTGATGTATTGGCTGGTGGTATGTGGTGACATGTTTCTCATGGTTGACCTCTCAATGAGCACTGATAGGCCTACTGTCTTCTTTAGAGTTTTCAAGCTTGATTTCTCCATCGTACCACCTAAGTGGGTGAAGGTGGAGAATTTGGGAAACCATGCCATCTTTGTAAGCTTTGATCAAAGGAACCTGGCATTTTGCTGCACGGACCCTGAAAGATGGAGAGGAAAGAGTAAATGTATCTATGTTGCCACCCAGTCTATGAAGAATGATAAACCTTGAACTGTGGTCGAGCTTGGTCAGGCATTGTCTAGTAGAAATTGGAGGCCCGTTGTGTATCCTGATGCTTATCCCTATGGCAATCCCGGTCGACCAGATAACCTTTGGGTGTTTCCTAGTTTGGTTTATGATGTTGGGCTGTGAGCATCTTTGGTTTTCCTGGAGTTTTAGCTAAGTCATTTTGATGTAATATTTTCTTGACTTAGCATGCCATGTTCTCGTGTTAAAACAAGTTAAATGTACTATAATCCCGTGCAAATTGTAAGCCTAGCCATAGTCCTAGTTTTTTCTGCGTTGAACATTTGAGCACTGATGTTGTTCGGCTTGCAGGTCTTTCTAGATATATACTCCATCCGGTCTAGTTTATAAGGCATCTTTCTGAGATGTCATGTCTCCTAAATTACTCTGATTATTTATTTAAACTTTTGATTATTTGATATTAGATTTAATTACAAATCTAACAGTATCAAGTTTGTATTACAATAGTTAAAAGTTGTTAGCCAAAATATTGGTCACAATTATAAAGTTTGATGTTTGACCTACCTGAAATATCTTGTAAACTGGACTAGAGGGAGGAATGCGTACTAGTGGATATACTAGTGAACTGAAATGTCTTGTAAGCTGAAATTAAACTGAACCTGTCAGTGTCAGTCCACACCAAGTTCAGCTTAAAATAGCTTGCCGGACGACGACGATATTATATATGCTGTTGATGCAGACCAAGTTCAGCTTTGTGATGCTGCCTGAAATTAAACTGAACTTTGTCAGTGCACACCAAGTTCAGCTTAAAATAGTTGTCTGCCGGACGACAACGATATTATATATGCTGTTGAGGACCCCCCCCCCACACACACACCACTGCAGTCAATGTAGGAAAATAATACATCATGGGATGGGACTGCTAGCTTATTCAGAAATTATACAGTACATTTCAAAAGGAAAACAATAGGACCAAGAAATGGAGAGCTAGCCTGGAGCTCTGTGTGCTAACTAAATTGCCTTCAGAAGAAACTAAGGGTATGCAATACATTCTTGCATCAGAAGAATTTATGGAGATTAGCTTCAGAAAGGGTATGCAATACATTTTCCTATGAGTCGCAAGAACGACCAATCATCAGCCTGTTCGGCAGGCATGAATTGGCTGGCTGGAGCTGGTGCTGAACCAGCCAGCCCCCAGCCATTTCAAATCGGCTGAATAGCCATTTCAAATTCAAACACAAAAAAGGCGCCAACAACAATGGCCATTCATAAACAGTCCACTTCTAGTTCATATCTAACAGTTCATCAACCTTCACTGGTCCTTACATACAACCAACAAATGACAGTCCATTTGTCCAATCCATACAATAAAAGAATACAACATACACTAGGGTTAATAAATTAGGCATATATGCAACATATACAAAAATTCTGTACTTCATGAAGCCACTAACCAAACTGCACACATACGTGCAATCTGCAGTTGCACATACACCGCCCGCCTTCGTCGTACTCCTGCAATCAATACAAATTGTCACACATAATGCATTCAGTAAATACCTAACTTAAATTAAAGTACTCAAGTAGCTTCATTACATCACCTTTCCTCAATCATATTACAGTCCAGACAACAATTGATATGAACTCCCTTACTGCAGTTGTTTGTGTTCCACGATTTAGATCCACCCACTCCGACAGCTCATACGACAGTGCATTAGGTCCATACTTACGCAGCAACAAATAATTATCCATTGCAAAGCATGATATGATAATCATTGCAAAGCACAACCGGTCAATTAATGTGATTTCTGGGACCCACCATCTCCTGCTGCCAAAGTTTACTAAACATGCTTAAATCAGAAATTGACATCAAATTGAATGCAGATGGCACTTCAACTAGAATGCTCACAGTACGGCACACATCCAAGTGAACATAGTTCTCGACAACGGTCTTTATTACAATGAACAAAAAGAACATAACACTGACAAGGTACATAAACAACTCAACATGCTCATGCTGGAAAACTAAAACAACTAAAGAAGCCACAGGAGGAAGTATGTTGCTGATCACTTGGACTTGGAATTAACGAAGTCCCACGAGACATTCACCTAGTTCAGCCGGCCCTCTTTTGTTTCCAAATCAAGAAAAGCCCGACGACAGAGCCTATTGTTGCAAAGATTAAGGGCTTGGGCAAAGACTACATCACTCTCGCTATAACCATCTTGCTTCGGAATCTGATTCACTTGGGCCATCTCCTCGGCATCAGTGGCTTGATGGGCCTTATGCGCCCTAGTATCCCTGATAATGTCGCTCAGGTCATCAAGGCAGTCATCAAGGGTTGGAGTCCTGCTACTCTTCTTACTGCGAGGACTGTTAACGGAATGGTCCCTAGTGACTCTCTTGGAGGACTGACCAACACTACGTGGTTGTACGGGCTCGTTGGACAAGGCTTGAGGAGTCTGAGGGCTTACACTACTGGGTGTACGGTCAGGTTGATGTCCCCCTGCAGATACCAACTCGCCCCTGTCACGTGGGGTGCGTCCCAAAATCAAGATCAGTTTCTCACAGCATTGTGGACGTCTGAACCTCTCACGAGCGGTTTGGCTACTTTCCTGCACGTGATCCAGGGATGGCCATGTTAGTAGTCAGTTAGTGCGAACCTAAATGCTAAAAAGAGTCAACAAAAAGGGTGTAGTTAGTACCCCGGTGCCTGCGGCATACCAACCGGGGTCAACTGTCACCTCTCCAGTATGCGGGTCACGGCCTAGCCCAGTATGGATCTGACTATCGCGCCAATTGAAATACGCCATTTTCAGCTCGTTGTACTTGTTCTGGAGCTGTTTCTTGTTGTACCCGAGCCTTGTGGCCTCGTTAAAGGCACGATGGACGTTTGTCCACCTGATAGGGGTTGGGATATTGTTGCCCCAATGACATAGGTTTTTCTGCTGAGTGATTAGCTCAAGAAACAATGAGCAGGTTCTATCATTCCAGCTAGCACGATCACGGTTCATCTGATGCAATGTTCGACATTCTGATGTATTATGTACATGGATGCTATGGAAATAGAAAAAAGATGTTCCTAGCATTACGCAAAGAAGGGATTGGGCGAAGGAAAAGGGAACTTGCCTTTCCAAAACGTTTGCGGTGTTTTGAACGGAGGTTGTACTGCCTGGCTGCAGGTGGAGAGCACGACGAAGTCGACGACGCTGCTAGTGTGGGCAGCGTTGAGCACCAGCGGATGAAACATCCCTGAATTCTCTGCAGTGTAAACATAGAGCATAATGTTTAGGTTCAACAAAACATAATGCATGAACAGCAGGCGATAGTACTCTTAAAACCGTCTACCAAGTTATGCATATGAACATTATAAACCATACAAGATTATTATCTGTAAACTAGGCAACAAGGACATATGAACTCAAATTTGTAGCCGCCAATAGATATACACATAGAAATAGGGCGTTATCAAAATACAAATGGGGTACAAACTCAAGAAAGCAATTACAACAGCTAAGTTAAAACAAATATAACAATTAGAGAGGATAGTAAGCCAAACTCACCACTAATGGTAGCATATTTGAAAGATAGCTCAAATAAAAGGAAACAATGCCCTTTCTTAAGCACATGGAGGACAAGCGGCCAGACTATTACAATAGGAAAGATGATTGCAAAACCAATTAGCATCGTACAATGGAGGATATTTACTATCGAGCTCTTGTGATTCATGTATACAAGACAACCAGTGTTCTCAGGATCCAAGAACACAAACTGGCAATAAGTAGTTTACTAAAGGACGCATGAATTACTAACCTTCTGCAGGTCGAGCTGAACATAGAACACCGATTAATAGAGTCTTGTCTTGTTTGGAATTGTACAAGAACGTACTACAACACTGATCACCAATTTAGGACTGCACCAGCTTCGTCATCCTGCACAATTCGGAGGCAACACAGGACGGAACACGTCAACAATAAGTTATGTATGATCAACAAAGTTATGTTCAACATAGATTTGAAATACGAACCTTCTCAGTGGGCGGATCGAAAACACCTGGAAGGAGCTGCCGTCGACCGGGTCGTGGCGGTGATGGGGGGTGGGGCGCAGGGACGAGGCCGTTGGGTTTAGATCCAGTCGGGTGAGACTACGGCGGCGTGGGATCCGGGGGTACCTTGCTGGAGGCAGTCGGCGTCGATGGAGGCTGGTTCGGGGAGGGAGGCGGAGCTCAATGTCACCGAGGCTGTCGACGGCGAGACTCGGCGTCACGGCGTACAGAGGCGGGCGGGGACCGATCCGCTGACCAACGACGGGGCTCGGCGACGCGGCGGTCACGACCGCCGAGACTCGCGCATAGAGACGCGGATGAGCGGCGAGACTGCGGCGGAACCCTAGCCGCGCAAAGCGAAGGGGTAAAGAGGAGGGAGGGAGTGGCACGCAGTGCCTGGGGTCGCTTTTTGTCCAGCCGTTTGGCTGGGGCTGGGCTGATAAGCCCATGCACATCCAGCCTAGCAAGCCGTTTCATGCCAACCCAACAGGGTGTATGTGCAGTCTGGTAACAATCCTACAATGAACCACCTAGTTATTGTCCTCAAGCTATCGTGTGCAGCCCAAGTCCAGGTCCAGTAGTTAGTTGGATTTTAATTTGTGATGCTGCTCTGAACTGAAACAGCGCACTCGCAGCTTGCCTGGCAGTTATCCTCGCCACGTAGTCATGTAGGGAAAATAGTACATCATTGAACTGCTACCTGTGTTTTTTTTCTACTGTGCTAGAGCACAATGCAAACTCAAACACATTTCATTTCAACAGGAAAACAGAAGGTCCAAGAAATGGTGGAGAGCTAGCCTGGAGCTCTGTCTGCTAAATAAATTCTTCAGCTTGCAGTCTATAGGACTTGCTCTCTGCTAAAACTCGATCAGGGCCTGCGATCAGCTCCTTCCTTGCAGTAGTAGCCCTCTCACCTTTGGGCACTTTATTTATTGGAAGATTAGCTTTACTGGAGAATACATTCTCCAATCAGACGACTTTATTTACTCACTAAGAAAGGTTTATGCAATACATTCATCAATCAGACGACTTCACCGGAGATTAATTTGCTTCAGAAAGGGTGCCGCAAGAACGACCAATCATTTGCAGATTCTGGAAACGATACTACGAGGAAGTCAGCATCATTGGAATTTCCAAAAGTAAAAAAGAGAATTCATTAAGCATGTTGATATAACGAACCTTGGTTGCAACTTTCATCTAGTCCTCACTTCTCATAGCCTGTTCGCTGGTTGGTTTCTGGGCTGATAAGCCCGGCTAGTGCTGGTTTATTGTGAGAGTAAGACACTGTATTATGGCTGATAAGCCCTGACTGAAGCACTCAAGCTTACTCATTAATGCTGCAATTCTCCCTGTAGGCACCGGCTCTGCAGGCCCTGATAATAGATGATGTTAGAATTTATATATGCATGTAAATGAAGGTGGAATTAGAGACATTAGTAAAGTGCCATAGTCCACCGTCCAAGTATTATTACTATTATTATAGTCTCTTAAATTCGTATGTAGGGACCAAAAAGTGACATATTATATACAAAAAGATGTCTATGTAAATATTAATGTGGCCGGCGTGTTGATTCCTAAACTTTGCATGTACGTACGTATTTACCCATCTGAGTATCAATGCGTGCACTTCATGGCTCACTAGATCTTCTGTACATGGTTGAATAGATGTTCTGCACACTTCATTATTTTAAGGTTTTTTATTTATCTGTAAATCGCGTCACGTCTGGTGATAACTAATACTAGAATAATAACAATCGAGCTCCTGGCCATTTATATTAAATTAGTTAAAATGAAACCAAGAAATTAAGTAGAGATTACCTTGAAGAAGATGGGGGTCTAGAGTTTTCTCCTCGAGGTGATCCAGACGTTGCTGTAGGCTCGGTGGAAGCTGCTTTATACCATCACAGAATACAATGCTAAGAACTCTGAGAGATGAGTATACTCGTTGAGGTCCATTCGGTAAGGATTGCAGGCTTCGGCAAGACCAAACATTGAGTTGTTCCAGCGACGGGACCTCTCCTGACAGGGATACAAGACTGCCACAAAACGAAATCTTCAAGGTCTTGATGGACGGAGGAAGGTTGGCAACCTCTGTCAAGCCACCGCAATTATATATCTCTAGAGATTCTAGGCATGGAAAGAAGCAATGATTACTGCTGGCTGATGATGATGACACCGGCTTCAGTACTACAGCTGTAGACACCGTGGATTCATCCTCATTGCTGGACGAGGACGACCCTGCAGCCATCAATGATGATGACGTTTCCAGCCCCGTCGTGTCCTGCTGCTCACCGAATGCAATGGATTTGAGACTCTTGCACTCCCAAACAAGTAACGTCTTGAGAGATCTCGATAGGTTTGGGACCTGTACCAAAGAGTCGCAGCCACGTATCACTAGGGACTCCAGACGTGGCAGGAGGGTTCCACTCCGTTGTACGAGAGCAGATTGCTCATGAGAAGCTTCATCTTCCGTGAGTCCTGTCAGTTTGTTACATTTGCGAATCTCTAACGTCCTCAAGGATACATGTACGAGAGCATCGCACGCAGCAATTTTCAAAGTTGCTAGCTGTCCAAAACATTTCCATAGCGCCAGTGCACTCGAGCCTGAGAAGAAAAGGTCACACCCTGTTAAGCGCAGATCCCCCAGGGGGGATTTATGCTCACGTACTACCTCCAGTTCGGTAGAATTTTCTTCTTTATTTGTTGCCCATACCTCCAGACTGGACAATGAAGTAATATATCTGCTACCAGCCTGTAGAGATGCTTGCTGTCTACAGTTGTATAGATATACTTTTCTTAGCTTCGGTGCTTCAGGAAAAGTAGTCAACTCTGGGCAACCAATAACTTGTAGTTCCTCAAGCGAAGGAAATGTTACTTGTTCTCCTAAAGATCCTTGGACCGCCTCCCATCTGTGAAACTTGTCCAGATCACTTAAATACATTCCCTTCAATGCTGGAAACGGGGAGCGGCACTCAGCGCCATCTCTACCTGATGATTTTTTAATCACCGACGCTTTTGGTAATGCTATCAGCTTTTCACAAAGCACGATCCATAGATTCTCAACCTCAGGAAATAATATCTGCTCCTCTCCTTGCACCTCATTCCTATCCCACCACATCTCAAAATTTGGCATATCCTCCAAGGACATCATCTTCAGTTTCTGAAACTTGGACGGGGCACCACCGCTGAACAAGCAATGTAAATTTTGTAGGCTGCATAAGTAAAGAAACTGGAGGGACGGTAACTGCCAGAGTGCAGGAAGCTTCTCGAGATTTTGGCAATCTTGTAACTTGAGCTCCACCATGCCTTGCAGCTCCAGCATCCATGTCGGAATACCACTGCAACTGCAGCAATACATCCTCAGAGCCTTTAGCCCATCATGAGGTCGGAGGCCTTCCAGCACCTCCTTATGTGCCTCCTTTTCACTATCGTCAGACCATCTTAATGTTAGTTCTTCCAGCCTTTTCTTGTCCCAAAGTTTTGCTGCTTTTGCATTTGCTCCTGTCACATTTTCAAGCTTCCTTAGCTCCAGCTGGCCACCAAGGTCCAAGTTCTTCAGCGCTTCCATGTTACTGCAACCCGAGCCAGTACCTAATACAAAGCATGTAAGCGTCTGCAGGGAAGTGAGGTGTCCGAGGTTTGGAGGCATGCTCGTTAACATATCACATCCGTGAGTGTAGAGGTGACGGAGGGCAGACATATACTTCATTGCCTTTGGAAGTTGTTCAAGACGTGTACAATAAGATAGGTTCAATGTTTGCAGATGATACAGGATGGTAATGTCTTCAGGAAGTGCAACAATATCACTTGTTGAGAGATCAAGATACCTTAGGTGATGAAGATATTTCGGCTTTAGAAATCGACCTTGCCGTGTCTTTAAGGCTCGGACAGGCCTCAAATATTTTGATAATTTCTGCACATCTGCTATTTCGGATCTATCACATATTAGTGTCTGGATAGCTAGAGACCCTTTCTCTATGGAAGCATTCAAAACATTTTCTTCAATGTCAACTGATAGAAATAAATGGCGAGCGGAGTATGGAAAATCCTCACCTTGGCTCAGTTTTGTATCTATTGCAGCACATTCTTTTCCCATTGAATCCTGTGCAACATCATGCATAAGGTCATGGATTTTACAAGTAATTTGTCTGTAAAATTTGTCTTGCTGCACCTCCTGAAAAAATGACCTTTGAGATAGCTCATTGAAAATTTGTTTACCAATGTATTCAGGACACACTCTTTTTTGCTCCGAGATAAAACTATTAGCCATCCATAGTCGGATCAGCATTTCCACATCAATCTCATGATCCTTAGGAAACATAGCACAAAAGGCAAAGCACTGTCGCATATGTGGTGGCAAGCAATTGTAACTGAGCTTGAGTACCGGTAAGATTCCATTTTCGTCATCACAAATTGTGCTTCGGTTTAATACCGCCTCCCATTCTTGCACGGTATTCTTAGTACGAAGTACAGAGCCCAATGCTGTAGCAGCTAAAGGAGAACCGGAACATCTCCTCGCAACATCACCAACCATATTGAGTAGCTGATCATCATGCTTTTGTGCTTGCACACTAAATGCTTCTTTCTTGATAATTTTTTCTATGTAGCTTTCTTCCAAGTGCTTGATCTTATGGGCTTCGATTGTCCCCATGAACCGAGCAATATTTTCATCACGAGTTGTTGTCAAAATTGAGCTACCGGGGGCACCATGATGAAGGTACGACCTCAACTTATCCCACTAGTTGGCCTCACGGTTCCATACATCATCTAGTACAAGGAGATACTTCTTCCCACTCACTGCACTTTTAACTTTTCCATTGTTGAACCACCGGTCATTTGACAACCATTCTTTTCAGCCTCTTTCATTATTGTTTCAAACAGGGAATCCACATCAAAGTTTTCCGACACACACACCCAGATCTGAACCTGGAAGTGCTTCTGAATGGCGGAGTCATGGTAAACAAGTTGCGCTAATGTGGTCTTGCCCATCCCACCCATTCCTACTACAGGGAGGACTGTGAGACCCACATTGTCCTCTTGGCCAAGCAATGCATCAACAATCTCCTTCTTCTCTTTTGCTCTTGAGTCACTTGCAATGTTCACATAATTGTCTGGCATGTTAGGATCTGTCTGCCTCCACTTCATGGACATTGGTGGCTGTGGTTTGAATTTGAACCTAAAGGTATTCATCTCTGCTATGAGGACATCAATTTCTTACAAAATTATACGGAGCTTGTTTGCCATCCTATAACGGAACACAAACCGGTTGTGAGAAGGGAAGAGCTTTATGACATCCATACCGAACTCCTTGTAGTGCCCCTCTGCCTTTGCCTTGCGGCGGAGTGCCTCGTACTTGAACTCGTCAAGGACATCGTTCGCCTTGTAGGCCACGGTCCGGAGCTCCTCAAGCCAAGCTTTCGCCCCCTCTCTGGTTTTCGCTGTCTGCTCCTCGGCGTCAGTGATGACGTCCAGGACGGCGGGCAGCTTGCGCTTGAGGAGCTTGTGCTGCTCCTCCATGCCCTCCATGACCTTGTATTGGTCCAGGAGGTGGCTGGAGGCCTTCTCCTTCACCATGGACACCAGCGGCCCGACCACCATGGTGGCCAGTACCTCCGCCATCAGAACTCCTGGAGCTCAATCTGAACACGGGTGCAGGGTGCAAGGAAGCACAGCTGCTGGGTGGTGAAGGGAGTGGATGTGGATCTGATGAGGAGCTGCTTTGGAGGAAGATGTAACCAGGAACAATATGATATAGAAGTATGGTTTGCTTGTACAAATGGCTAGGTCACTTAAAACAACTCCCTTGACCAACGGGACTAACCATGTGGACCATGTAGACCCATGTAGACCCAGGCTTCGGCTGGCCGCATGCGTTTTTAGTGCGATACGCACAGGCATTAGCACCACCACCACTGGCAGCACGGACGGTCGGTGACTTGTCTCACGTAGTAGTGTAGCACCCGTGAATGAGCAGGCCTCGCCGCCTATCAGACCTGAATCAGAACCATGCAACTCATGGAGTATACACAGGCATGCACTCTACGGAAGCGCCATACCAATAATAGAGACGAGACAAAATATGCACCGTACATACTCCATTCCGTCCAAAAAATGCAATTCTCACATGTATAAACAAGAGGCAAAAAATAATGAATATTTTCATGAGCCAACTTAGAATAAATTTACTAATCTACGTAAACAAGTTATTATTAGCATATTATAAAACATGAGTTTTAATTCTAAATGATTTATTTCGGATATCCATTGTATATCCACGGGTGGAAAACCAAACCCGAAAACGAACCCGATAGGTTTCGAGGCCCCGAACCTGAAAACCGTGGTTGAGAAATCATCCCCGAACCCATGAAACCCGCGGATATCCAACCCGAAACTGCCCCGTTGCCATCTTTAAGACCGGTAGGTCTGAATCTGGCGTACCCTAAACCATAAACCTCGCATGCCAATGTTCGATTTCATGGCCTTTCAGAGTTCTAGTTTGTTTCGGAAAACCTCGCAAAGATTTGTGTCTCAGTTGAACACCATCTCGAAAAGTAATTTTGTACTCCCTTCGTCCGCAAAAGAATACAATTATGGGACCGTGTCGGTCAGTGTGGTTCAATTTTGGTCAGTATGGTTCATATTTAAAAAATTCAAACTTCGTCTGTGCAAGCGATGAAGCAGAGCCTGCCATTCACGTTCTCGCGCGAGGCCCGCTTGACGCCTCGTGCTTTTCTGCCGCTGAGCCCAGAGTGTCGCTGCGTGTGGGGCTACGGGAGGCCATGTCCCACCAAGCAGAGCAAGGGTAGACGGAGACTTTTCCAAAAAAGAAGTAGAGGAATCTGATATGGCCCACTTTCGGTCTGTATAAAAGCTTTGCAGGTCTGCTCGCCCTGATGAACGAGCTTGAGAATCTTTTAGACTGCCGCTTACTGACGACTTTGGATCGCAGGCTTTAGCATGCATGTGCATATATGAAGTAATGCAACACTAGGTTAACAAGGAAAATTGCCCTATCCAAAGAGCATAAGAAAGGACATGTCTCATGTCCACCTATCCAAAGAGCACCAGTATCCCCATCAAAAAAAATAAAAAAAGAGCACCAGTAGTGGTCCCCATATACGTAGTTAAGGGGCGTATTTAGGGGCCGTCCTTGTGGTTTAAATACTACAACCATATCTCATAAAAATAATATTTCATTAAAACATAGTCAAATGGGATCTTGTTTTATAAACTTAATTGCAAGGAATATTATTTATAGTGTAAATAGATCATAAAAATGATGCGCTGTCTGGGAGCTATGGCCATTCAAAGTTTCGTAATCCGAAAATGTGGAGAGGTACAGTAGCTAACCTGTAACTGGATGCTCCACCCGTGGCTGTTCAAAAAGGTCCATGCACCTCCTTTTATCTGGGCGCAAAAAATCGATTGCGGCCTGGTGTCAGTGGGATGGCATCGGCTGGGTGGGTGTGCGCAGCGTCCAGACCCACCCAGCCGATGCACGGTCAGATCGTTCACAGTCCGATATGAATACGAGTGATAGGGGTTTGGAGCCCTGATGCTTATGTCGTTCCTCTTTGTATTCATTGCCCAATGTAAGTGGCTCATCGTCATCTAGGCTTTATATTTAATTATTGGTTCTACATATGTATGCATATATACTACATCCTCACGAGCAAACTATCAATCAGCACCTTATTCGCTTGAGTGTATCAGCCATGCTTATCAGCTATGATATAGTATTTTTCTCTCACAGCAAAACAGCATTAGCCGGCTTATAAGCCACAGAAACGATCAAGCGAACATGGTGTTCTTTCCAGAAGGAGCAAATGTTTACAATGCCATGGTTGATGCATTCTGTAAATGTGGCAAAACTGAAGACGCATATCATCTTTTCATGGAAATGGCTGAAGGCAGTAATAGAGATGCTGTGACAGTTAGCATTCTTGTCACTCACCTAACTAAACATGGTAAAGGTTTTTTTTTTATATCTGTACTTGTTCTATCGCTTTATTCAGCTGCTTCCTGCTATGTATTCAATTCTTTTTAAATGGCCATGGTTACTGCCACCGCCAGGGAAATTTCAAGAGGTTGAAAACATCATACATGGCTGTTTCCAAGATGAAGTTCAGCTCGACACTGTCTTGCACAATACTTTTATCAAGTCAATGCTTGAGTCAGGTCTGGCTAACATATTCTCCTATTCATCGGATAGGCAAGCAAAATTTCTGGTTGCAAGGCATCACAACTAACTTCTGCATTTTTAGTTTCCAAGCAGGTAAACTGCATTCAGCCATCAGCATCTATGATCGTATGATATCCTCTGGCATTTCTCAGTCTATGCAGACATTTAATTTAATGATAAGGTAGATAAGTTTACAGAAACCCCTGGAAAATGGGAGCCCAAATTCGGAATTGCATTCTTTTTCTTGAATATGTTGTTTGTAGCACCACGTCATCACTCATCAGCTTCAATATTCTATTAAGTGTTTATGTCAAAGGAGGAAAGCTGGACAAGGCTGTTGAAATGTTTGCTGCTGCACAGGAGCTAGGCTTGCCGATTGATGAAAAGATGTACATAAACATGCTTAGCTTATATGGAAAACCGGTCAGGTTCTTGTGTCCTGTAAACAAATCAACTAAAGATCTTCTGATTGATTATTTTTGCCCACTGCTTCAGCTTTTCCTTCTATCCAGTTCTAAGACTATGGATTTTCATATTTTCGTAGGCATCGGGGAGGCGTCTTTAATGTTCAAAAGAATGAAGGAAGATGGCATCAGGGCCTCGGAAAGGTTCTCTTTCATTGAATGTAACTTTTGAAATTGCTTTGAGAAAACAAGGAGTCTTGTAGTTCCCCTTGATCATCTAAAGCAAACATGGCTAATCTGGACCAAACTTGCAATGTGCAGATCAGCTTCAATTCCATGATCAATGCCTATGCCACTTCAGGATTTGTATAGCGAGGCGAAAAGCATATTCTAGGAGATGCAGGATCTGTGGTCACGCCCGACTCGTTCTCCAATCTCATACCGATCGAGAGCATACACGGAGGCTAAAGCTGCATAATCGAGGCGGAAGAAGCCATCCAGATGATCTTGAACATCAACACAACCCCTTCCCGCCTCATTTCACCACTGATTTTCGCCTTTTCTCAAGGAAGGCCAGATTAGTGAAGCCCGGAGGATCTACAACCAAATGAAGGAGGCAAGCGTGGCTCTGATCCGGCTCTTTGTAGGACCATGATGAGGGTGTACATGGAGCACGGTCTCATGGACGAAGGCATCTCTCTCTATGAGATGACACATGGCTCATTTGAAACTCGACAGACTTCATCTTGAGCGCTGTGTTTCATCTGTATGAGCATGTGCGAGGGAGTCTGAAGCCGGGATGTCTGGATGCCATCGGTGTGAGTGGTGCCTCCTTCATGAGGAATATGAAGATTGGATCTAAGCTTTGATGAACCTGAAGGACTACCCGTGATGTGTACATAATCTAAAAGAAGTTAGGGCACTTAAACATGCAATTTTTTTCCTTTCATTCCTTGGGGAGAGCACAAGTGCAACTGCCTTCAGAATTAGGAACACATATACCACAATGGTACAGAGCCAAGAATGAATGGTGTGACCCATGACTATTTTAGAAATTACTACGCTACTGTTTATGATTTGGGGCATGCTAATTAGTTCAAATAAAGCAATTAGTTTGTCCTAAATATGTCCTCGTAACTCAGCCATGTTCTGGCCAAGAACGTAACTCTGCAACCATGCTATTGTGTTCTTGGCAAACAACGTAACCCCAACTTCCGCCCATCTACCTACGTGACATTCTTCACCGCTAGTCATGGACATTGTCGCTGACTGGCTCGTCCGTCGCCAAAGACTACAACGTCGCCGTCCCTTAGTAGACATCCGAAAACGGCTGCCCACTTGTACCACACCATTGCGGATGCGAGATGATGAGCACAATAAGTGCCAATAAGTCACCCCAATTGCATCTTCAAAAATAACGGTGCTTCCGAAGACTTAGCTCATAAAAACGCACAAGTATAAAGTGGCTCGTAACATGAAAAATGTAACGAATGCTAACACAAAACATAAAGTCGTCATACTCCAATTGCATAACTTGACATACCCAGGTTCCAATGGTGAATTCTTACAGTTTTAGATCTCTAAGAAAACCAGTGATAAATTCTTACAGTAGAAATCATTGACCGTCACAGCAATAAGAGAACATACTGGGAACAACCCATGTAGGTTGCACCATGCCCATGTGGTCGGCATGTAAGCGAGTTACATAAATAAAAGCTCAAGCCCTGGTGGCATCATCTCCAAGCGGTGGCTTGCCCAATTCAAATGCAACCAAATGGCGTAACGAGAATCATAGCAAATATACGATTGCTTCTCCTCCCCACCTCTCTGGGTTCATGCACGATAGAGCCTCAACTCTAAGGTAATTGTTGATGAATATCGCCCATTTCTCCAACCTCTCCACCTTTACCCACTTTGCAGGTTCAGTCGAAGTGTCCAGATGATAAGCTTCAAATGAAGGCCCAGTTCTCGAGGAATCACTTGCTGACCAACCACAAGAAGCATGTCGCCGCACACCACCGACCAAGCGAATC